ATAGATAGATAGATAGATAGATAGATAGATAGATAGATAGATAGATATAGGTATAGGTATAGGTATAGGTATAGGTATAGGTATAGGTATAGGTATAGATATAGATATAGATATAGATATAGATATAGATATAGATAGATAGATAGATAGATAGATAGATAGATAGATAGATAGATAGATGATACATAGATAGAGATAGATACATAGATGATAGATGACAGATGATACATAGATAGAGATAGATACATAATACAGAGATAGATAGACGATACATAGATAGATTAGATAGATAGATAGATAGATAGATAGATAGATAGATAGATAGATAGATAGATAGATAGATAATACATAGATAGAGATAGATACATAGATGATAGGTGACAGATGATACATAGATAGAGATAGATACATAATACAGAGATAGATAGATGATAGATAGATTAGATAGATAGATAGATAGATAGATAGATAGAGAGATAGATAGATAGATAGATAGACAGATACATAGATAGATATATAGATGATACATGATACATAGATAGAGATAGCTACATAGATGATACATAAATAGAGATAATACATAGATAAAGATAGATAGATGATAGATAGATGATAGATGATAGATACATAGACGATAGATAGAGAAAGCTAGATAGATGATAGAGATGGATAGATAGATAGATAAATAGATAGAGGATAGATAGATCTAAAAGATTTAAAAATGTTCTTAATGTTATCAGAATTACTATTATTTTGTATGGAAGAAAGGAATGTAATAGCTAATGATATCAAAAGGGCTGTCCCACATGCTCTGTTAGGGTTTTTGAAATTAACCCCTAGAAGAGTATTGCAGCAGTAGTCAAGCCAGGAAGCCAAAGGAGAGCGGAAGGGCCCCAGAGTATACACACACTGAATACAAACACTGTTTGTAGTTTAAATAGTTTTTAATCCAGTTAGAGTTTAAGCATTGTCATTCAGTCCATTAAGTCATTCACAGTATTTCCATCCAGTAAGACTCACTAGTATAGTCCAAGTTAAGAGTCCTTGCAATATCTTTATCAGCCGATAAAGATATCTTCTCCTCCTCCAGTTTCACTCTCCAGAGAAACAAACGCTGGATATTCAGTAGACTTACGCAGTAAATCAGCAAACAGTAGCAAACAATAACAGTTCAGTCACAGGCACTCACAGTCAGTAATCACAGTTAGTCGCAGCAGCACACAGTTACAGTAACAGACAGCACACAGTTACAGTCAGTAAGCTTTCCTGCTTCTAATGCTTCCTTATATTGTAACTTCTAACCGCACCCTTAATCGGCTAATTGCCTGCTGCATTTTGCTTAAAGTGATAAGCACTTAAACCATGATATCTAAGTTTTATATATTTATTCACCCAAACCATATTTGGTATCAATGTTATACCTAACAT